TCCACTCACCTCAGCCTCCCAAAGGCGCAGGATTACAGGCTGAGCCACCGAGCCCAGCGGGTCTCCCATTCTTACAGCAGAGAATGGCCACCCCTCCTAGACTGAACATGAGAACAATGTTTCCTGGACGCCAGCAGAATGTACCCATCTATTCCCACTGCCTCCGGAAGGAGAAGTGATGCTTTTCTTTCACTTGTTCCACAGTATTTAGGCGCCTTGCCTCAGTTTCTTCTCCTGGAGAATGGGGATATCGGTCGTGTCTCCCTCATGAGCATACGCCAAAGAGCAAAGCAGATGAAATAATGTATGTAAAGTAATAAGCTCAGGGCCCAGGAAGTTACACAGGCTTAATTCACTGTGTCTATTATTAGTAATATTAATTTCTTTTTTCTTTTTTTTTTTTTTTTTTTTGTGAGTTGCAGTCTCACTCTGTTGCTTAGGCTGGAGGGCAGTGGCACACTCATGGCCACTGCAGCCTTGACCTGCTAGGCTCAGGCGATCCTTCCACCTCAGTCTTCCAGGTGGCTGGAACTACAGGCGCGCCACCACGCCTGGCTAGTTTTTTGATTTATTGTAGAGATGAGGTCTCCCCAAGTTGCCTGGACTAGTCTCGAACCCATGGGCTCAGGCAATACTCTCACCTAGGCCTCCCAAAGTGCTAAGATTATAGGTGTGAGCCACCGCACCCGGCCAGTGTTAATTTCAGAAACAGTTGAGCACAGCATGGCCTGTGGCCTTCATAGAGCACAGGCAGACCTCTCTGTTCATTCCACAAGCGCTTACGAGATGGCCATCATGTCAGCCTGCCTTCCTGAATGGAGCCTTCCCAGTGTTCTCAAATTTTCATGGAGGCTGTTCCTTAGTCTCTTCCAAGTAATAAGCCATTTCCACCTACTCCCTTAACCCCTGAGGGGTTAACTGAAACTCACACTGGAGCAGTGACTTGCCTGAGGCCACCCAGAGATGAAATCCAGGTCCCTGTCCCCTGGACCCCGGCAGCCAAAGCCCTAGCTTCAGGCTGACTTCTGGTATTAGATTCCAAGAGTCCAACTCCCTAGTAAGGCTAAAATAAAAACATACTTACCCCTGGGTATCCCTGAAGCCACCCAGGATGCAAGAGGTTCTATGTGGCCAGCCCTATAGAGCAAACTTTTTCTGTAAAGAGCAGGGAAATAAATTAGACTTTGCAGGCCTCTGTCTCAAGTATTCAACTCTGAATGCTTGAGCAAGATAGCAGCCCTAGGCTGGGCACCGTGGCTCAGTGGCTCACACCTATAATCCCTGCACTTTGGGAGGCCGAGGTGAGAGGATTGCCTGAGCCCACGGGTTCGAGACCAGTCCAGGCAACTTGATGAGACCCCATCTCTACAATAAATCAAAACATTAGCTGGGGATGGGGGCGCACGCCTGTAGTTCCAGCTACTTGGAAGACTGAGGCTGAAGGATCACCAGCAGGTCAAGGATGCAGTGGCCGTGAACGTGCCACTGCTCTCCAGCCTGGACAACAGGGTAAGACCTCCAACTCAAAAAAAAAAAAAAAAAAAAAAATATATATATATATGTATATCAGCCCTACACAAGTTCTTAAGCAAGTGATTATAGCTGTGTCCCACTAAAGCCTTATCTATAAACACTGAAATGTAGCTGGGCGTGGTGGCTCACGCCTCTAGTCCCAGCAGTTTAGGAGGCCAAGGCAGGAGGATTGCTTGATCCCAGGAGTTTTACTGGCAACACAGTGAGACTGCGACTCTAAAAAGTAAAAAAAAAAAAAAAAAAAAAAAAAAGAGAGAGAGAGAGCTATAAACTAGCCAGGCACAGTGGCTCACACCTGTAATCCCGGCACCTTGGGAGGCGGAGGCGAGAGGATTTCCTGAGTTCAGGGGTTCAAGCCTAGTTTGAGTAACATGGTGAGACCTCGTCTCTACAATAAATCAAAAAATCAGCCAGGCATGATGGCACCTGCCTGTGATTCCAGCTACTTGGAAGGCTGAGGTGGGAGGATCACCTGAGCCCAGGAGGTTGAGGCTGCAGTGGCTGAGTATGCCACTGCACTCTAGCCTGGGCGACAGAGTGAGACTCCAACTCAAATATATATACATACACATATAAATTAAACAAAATGCTTTAAAACAAACACTGAAATGAGAATTGCATAGGATTTTCACATGTCACAAGATGTTAATTCTTCTTTTGATGGGTTTCCAACCATTTAAAAAACATTAAGCCCGTACTTAGTGCACTGGCTGTAGAAAAACCAATAGCCCACTGCTCAAAGGCTTATTTGATTTTTAGGACTAGAAATACGAAAATCCATTATTATTCCGAAAAGGGGCCTGAAGTCTGACCATCTATAGAGAGAAGGGAGGGTCGGTTAGTCCCTGGCTGAGCTTGCCTGGGACTCAGCCACCTTTATAAACCCATTTTCTTATCTTGTAGAGTGGTGACAATCATTCCTACCTTAGAGGGTTGTGAAGAGGGCTCAGTGGGATAAAGCATGGTAAAGCGTTTTGCAAAATGCAAATGTTTATTCACTTCATTGTTTCCACAGAGGCGCGCTGCACACCGACTTTTGCCTCCAGGAAGCCTTCTACGAACTTTGATGGGACGTCGTCCCTTTAAATCCGCCCCAACCACCCAAAGTGGTGGACGGGTCGGCACATGCGCATTCCTCTGCGGGACTGGCACCCCAGCCACAGCCTTCCCGGAGCCGGAGGCGGGGAGGTTAAAGGTCCTCCCACTCAGGACTTACACGCAAGCGTACATCGCAATCGAGAGCGCTATATCACGCGGAGAGCCCGGTCCCTTTTTCGCGTCCTCAGGCCCCGCCCCTCTCAGCCAATCAGCGGGCCTCGCCCTTGGCGGTGGCCAATGGCAGCGGGAGCGGGGGGCGTGGCTGGGCGTCCGGGGGCGCGGCCTGGCGCCGAGAGAAGCGGCGGGGCGAGCCGGGGGCTCTAGTGAACCGCGCAGCCGGACGGGGATCGCCGGCGGGCGGCGAGCGGAGGCGGCCCGGGCCCGGCGGTCTCCGCGATGTCACGATGGCTGTGGCCATGGTCAAACTGTGTGAAGGAGCGGGTCTGCCGCTACTTGCTGCACCACTACCTGGGTCACTTCTTCCAGGAGCACCTCAGCCTGGACCAGCTCAGCCTCGATCTGTACAAGGGCAGCGTCGCCCTGCGGGACATCCACCTGGAGATCTGGGTGAGGAGCCAAGCCCGAACCCAGGAAGGTGCGGAGGGCGGGAGCGCGGCGACCCGAGGCTCCCGGCGGAGGGGTCGGGCTGGGGCACCGGGCGCCCGGCGGAGGGAGCCCGGGGTCGGGGGGGGTCCGGCCCTCTCGGGGCGTCAGGGGCCCTCCCAGCTGGCCGCTCCGGCTTGCACCCCAGGAGCTGGGCGGGGGGGCGTCTCTGCCTCCACTTCGCGGGAGGGGAAACTGAGGCAGGGGAGGGCGATGTCGCCTGTCTGGAGCGTGCCAGCCCAAGCACACCAAGTTTGGGGGCTGAGTCGAGGAGCGAGGAGGGAGTGGGAGGAGGGAGCGCAGCAACCGGGGGCCTGGGGCGGAACCGGGCCCGGACAGCGACTGAGTTGGGGCCGAGGCAGCCGATCGGGGGGAGGCTGGCAGGGGCCCAGAGCCCCGGTGAGCACACCTGTGGAAATGCGCCCTGACCTCTTCACCCCCGCGGTCCTGGGCCGGTGGGTGAGGTTCGCCTCCGGATGTGGATGTCAACAACGCGTCAGCGCCGTGTTGATCAACACCTCGTGGGGCCGCGCTGGCCGCTTCCTGCTCGTGGGGCGGCCCCCCGGGTGTTTGGGAAGGGGCTTGGGTGTCAGCATCCCTACCTGGAGGAAACCCCCTCGTGAAAGGTGGGGAGAGCGGGCTTCCAGCGGAGGGGAGGCCGAGGAGATGCTGGGAGACCCGAGGCGGGAGGTCTGGGTCAGAGGCCTGAGGCTGAGGGTGGTGAGGGGCCCTGACTCACTGCTCAGCTGACCCGGGGAGTTTCAAAGAAGCCGCCAGTTAGAGGCGAGCTGGCCCAGGGCTGGTACTGGGTCAACCTCCGGGTCCAGAGCAGTGGGGGTGGGCATGGGGGCAGGGGCTTCTCAGTTTTCTGGCAGGCCTCGGGGGTCTGCAACTCTGCACAGGAGAGCTGGGCTTTAGGGGCTTGTCAGGCTCTGGTGAGCAAATGGGGGGTAGCAGGAAGACGCTGAGCCCAGAGTCGGGGCCCCTCCCAGGAGCCTGTTGTCTGAGTTTCAGGGTGGGAGGCCCCTCTCTGACCTCTAACCTTAGGCTGGCCTGAAAGATGGCTGACCTTTTCTGCCTTCCGCTCCTGAAAACACTCCCCCTCCTCGGTGACCTGCCCTCCTCTTGGAGGCTGAATTGGCTTCTAAATAGGCAGCTTCCACCTCCAGGGAGGAGTTGGGCCCGGCTTTCTTGATAACTGGCCCCTCCTCCCAGCTCAGCCTGCGCCCCACCTTGAAGGCCCCAAAAGAAGCTGAGTCCCAGGCCGGGCTAGGTGGCCCACGCCTGTAATCCCAGCACTTTGGGAGGCAGAGGCAAGAGGATTGCCAGAAACCAGCCTGGGCATATCAGCAAGACCTCATAGCCGGGTGCAGTGGTGCATGCCTGTAGTTCCAGCTACTTGGAAGGTTGAGGCGGAAGGATCACCCGAGTCTAGCAGGTCAAGGCTGTGGTGGCTGAGCGTGCCACCGCAATGCAGCCTGGGTGACTCTAACTCAAAAAAAAAAAGAAGCTGAGAACCTGGGGACTGAGGGGACATGAGGAGAGGGACCTGGGTCCCAGTCTCAGTTCCCACAGTATACTGGGTGGCTAAACTCGTCCTGTCTCTAGGCCTTAGTTTCCCCATCTGTGGGTCTCTGGATGAAGAATTTGGACTTGACCCCTACGGAGGCGGGGGGGGGGGGGGGGGGGGGAGTTCTAGCTCTGCCAATGTGCTTTCTTATTATTGAGTCCAGCAAGTTTACTGAGGCCCTTTCTGGGTGGCACCCCATAGGACTTAGGGTCACAGGTGGACTGCTGGCTTCAGGGAGCTCCCAGGGCAGGCAAGGGTACAACTCCGGCACAGACATTTTAGCTGAGGGTCAGCCCCATCTCCTGGACTTTCTCCCTGAAACATGGGTGTTGTGTTCTCCGCCAGTCCTGTACACATGTTCTTGCATGTGCAACACACTACCTTTCTACCACCTCCACCTACCGCCCCCTCCCACTTCCTCCTCATCCTTTCACTCTCCCCTCCTCTGACAACCCAGGCTGGGTGAGGCGTGCCCTCCCCCTCCGTCCTCAGTGCCCGCTCACTCCAAGTTTCATCCTCATTGGAGCCTTCTATGCTGGGGAATGAAGGCATTTTATTTACCTGCATAGCCTTGATGTTGGCATGTAGAAGGTGCTTAGTAAATACTTTTTTTGTTTTTTTTTTTTGAGTTGGAGTCTCACTCTGTCACCCAGACTGGAGTGCAGTG